GGAATCAGGGGAGCCAAAACTAGGACCGAGAGTCATTAAACTGTTGAAAATTAGCTGCCATCCAACTTTTAATATCCTCAGGACAGTCCAGAAGTGATTGTAGAGCAGAGACAACCTTATTTCATCAGAAGATCGGTCAGTCCTGGAGCTTTCTAATCTTAATAAAATGTTGAAGTAATTTGTCTGCGTTTGCTCCTGTGTGATGTGTGATGTTACAGTGAGTTTGCTCCTGTGTGATGTGTGATGTTACAGTGAGTTTGCTCCTGTGTGATGTGTGATGTTACAGTGAGTTTGCTACTGTGTCATGGGTGATGTTACAGTGAGTTTGCTCCTGTGTGATGTGAGGTTTGTCCGGGTTCTTGTCATGTTTCCAGTGGAGAATCCACACTGAGCTCTAAACACTCACACGGCCGCCATCATGAAATCTTAATAGCGGGAGGGAGACAATGCCTCGCCATGTGTGATGTGTGATGTTACAGTGAGTTTGCTCCTGTGTGATGTGTGATGTTACAGTGAGTTTGCTCCTGTGTGATGTGAGGTTTGTCCGGGTTCTTGTCATGTTTCCAGTGGAGAATCCACACTGAGCTCTAAACACTCACACGGCCGCCATCATGAAATCTTAATAGCGGGAGGGAGACAATGCCTCGCCTCCGGAGACAGCCAGATTTATGAAAATGAATAATTCACCAGTGTTTTTTCTTCTTCCTGTGAATGCTCTGAGGACTGAATATTTAGAGATTTCTAGCATATTTACTCTCACATGCATTTCAAATGCGCTGCTGTGTTCAACAGCTACTGTATGTGGAGGCAGTGCTTATATTGTACGCTAAATTAAGGATCTCATTAAGAGCTTGTTATGATTTGAAATCTCCAAGCTGTATTAGAAGCGTGTGATTATTAGATGAACGATTCGTCAGTGACGTTCCTCTGCACATCTCCAGTCTCTTCAGCTGACATTATCACTCCGCTCATTGTTTCTCTCACTGAACATCCGGTTTCAGATAATGGAAGTTCAGTTAGGTCTGTACTAGGGCTGAACGAATTTGGAAAATAATCTAATTGCGATTTTTTTTTACCAATATTGCGATTGCGATTTAATATGCAATTATTTTTTTTAAAGCTCTTTATGTTCTGTATTATTCAACAAAGACAAGCTATAAATAATTGTATAGTATAACCAACACAATATTAGATGTACAATATTAGAATAACATAAATGTTATTTTCTGTAGGCCAGGCCTATATGTTACGATGAAATTAGGTGATGCATAAATTGATATGAATGACATTTTTATTTAACAACTACACCGATGGGTGTGTCATCAAAGTACTGCGAGGGCTATAAGACAGCGGACATCTCCGTATGCTTTCTCTCGCCGTACTTTGATGTCGATCAATCTTCAAGTCGAACACCCCTCTTTACTCTCGCGTGTCACGTGACCGTGTAATTGCAGCCTCTGCGATTGAAAAATCGAAATTTTTCATATCGCGATATTATCGCAAATGCAATTAATTGTTCAGCCCTAGTCTGTACTAGTTTACCAGCGTCTTTTACCCACTGTCCATGTGGAGCCGCTGCAGTCGTGTGTCGTGAACACGTTTGTGTGTTTTTGTGTGTTGTTGTTGTCATTTTTGTTGTTGTGTGTGGTGTTGTTATTGTTGTGTGTTTGTGTTCTGAGCGCTGCTGCAGTCGTGTGTCGTTGATGTAGTTGTGTGTGTTTTTGTGTGGTGCTGTTGTTGATGTAGTTGTGTGTGTTTTTGTGTGGTGCCGTTGTTGTTGTAGTTGTGTGTGTTTTTGTGTGTGTGTCGTTGATGTAGTTGTGTGTGTTTTTGTGTGGTGCCGTTGTTGTTGTAGTTGTGTGTGTGTGTGTGTGTTTGTGTGTTGTTGTTATTGTTGTGTGTGTTTTTGTGTTGTTGTTGTTGTAGTTGTGTGTTTTTGTGTATTGTTGTTGTTGTAGTTGTGTCTTGTGTGTTTTTGTGTGTTGTTATTGTAGTTGTTAGTTGTTGTGTGTTGTTGTTGTTGTAGTTGTGTCTTGTGTGTTTTTGGTGTGTTGTTGTAGTTGTGTGTGTGTGTGTGTATGTTTTTGTTGTTCTAGTTATTGTAGTTGTGTGTGTGTTTGTGTGTTGTTGTTGTGTGTGTTTTGTGTATTGTTGTTGTAGTTGTGTCTTGTGTGTTTTTTGTGTTGTTGTTGTGTGTGTTGTTCTAGTTGTTGTAGTTGTTTTTCGTAGTTGTGTGTGTTTTTGTGTGTTGTTGTTGTTGTAGTGTGTTTTTGTGTATTGTTGTTGTTGTAGTTGTGTTTTGTTGTGTGTTTTTGTTGTTGTTGTGTGTGTGTGTGTTGTTCTAGTTGTTGTGTGTTGTTGTAGTTGTGTGTTTTTGTATCTTGTTATTGTTTTAGTTGTGTCTTGTTTTGTGTTTTTGTGTGTTGTTGTTGTAGTTGTGTGTGTTTTTGTGTGTTGTTGTAATAGTGTGTTGTTGTGTGTTGTTGTTGTTGTTGTGTGTAGGGCTGGGTGATATAGCTAAAAAATGTATCAACGATATAATGTTTCATATCGTTCGGTATCGATAATTCTTGACAATTTTTATAACCTTTTTTAAAACAAAGAGCAATAGAAAATTGTTTACATTTGACCACTGCATTTTTAAATTAACCCAATTTATTGAGACAAACAACAAATATTTTTGGTTTTAACAGTCAAACACAAAATAAAAATTAAACAAATATCTAATTTCTAATGTTTTATATGCAGATTAAATAGGTATACAAAGAGCCGAATCACCGATCACACAGACTGCATTTAAAAACATATGAGATGTAGTGAAAAGGAATAAACCTCCACAAATTTGCAACGTGTTTTCTAAAAGTTTAAACTGTTTTAACTTTGGCCTCCTGACACATCTGCTGTCTGACAGTAAAGTCGCTCCTGCTCTGCCTGCAGCGAAGCGTCTTCAGACGAGACTGACGGCTGGTGTTTCACTGGAGAACTCAAGCATTAGCCGGAGTGCTGATGCAGCAGAAGTGATGGATGATCACTGCTAGTGCTCCTAGTAACTTCTGTTTCATGTCTTCTTATTATTTTATCTCATCTTCTGGATTTTGGGATGTTTAGGTGTAGGGATGTAACGATTAACAGCGAGCCGGTTGAAAATCGATTCAAATATGTGACGTTTCAAATCGGTTGAGATGCTAAACAAATCGCGATTCATTTAGGAGTAGGAGTTTATATGAATGCATGTCTGAGGGGAACTTACTGTCTTTAGAAAAGTTTAGATGGTATTTTGTCTTTCCTCTTGCCTCTGTATAATGCATATTAAAGTAAGTGCAGCGCTGCTTTGTTTTTGCAGCGGAAATAAAAGGACACATTTAGTTTATAATTTGTCTTAAATCTCATTTTGTAAAAAAACAATAATAATCGTGAATCGAATCGAATCGTGAGTTGAGTGAATCGTTACATCCCTATTTAGGTGTCAGTGGAGCGCTGAAGTGCTGCTGTCACACTGATGCTGAATCCTCGAATGCTTTGTGTTCTTCTTCTGCTTCCTTTACTTTTCTTTTGCTGCTTCCTTCCTTCCTTCCTTTCTTCCTTTCTTCTGCTTTTTTTCTACCTCTTGTTTTTCTTCTTTTTATTGTTCTTCTGCTGCTGCTTATTTTTCTTTTTGCTGCTTCTTCCTCAGATTATTCTTTGGTCAGTGTTAGTAATTGTGAAAACAATGACATCCATTGGTTGGGATATTTTTGCATTATGCATGAGTTCTTGTGGAACAAATGAAGCAATAATGTACCTGTGTGTGTGTGTGTGTGTGTTTGTGTAAATTATAGAAAGAAGCACAAGTCTTCATGTAAATGACTAGTGTATATATCAGTGGGAACTGCAAGTCCTACAAGTTTGAAGCCACATGAGTGCCCATAAATGGTGACAGAATGATCCTTTTTGGTGAACTGCCCTTTGAAACGCAGGCAGATGAATTCAGGAGTGTTTGTGTAAATTATAGAAAGAAGCACAAGTCTTCATGTAAATGACTAGTGTCATTTCATATCATATCAGTGGGAACTGCAAGTCCTACAAGTTTGAAGCCACATGAGTGCCCATAAATGGTGACAGAATGATCCTTTTTGGTGAACTGCCCTTTGAAACGCAGGCAGATGAATTCAGGACAGCATATGAACATACTACATTACTGTTTGTGCCATTTACAAATATCCCAGATATAGTATGAGTCATACACTATTGGTCAGTCAAACAGATAGTCCCGCCCTAAACTCCTGTGATTGGCTGAAGTTGATGTCAGGTGGCTCAAACGAGCAGAGATCAATGCTGTGAAAGTGTCAGAGGCTCTGTCCAGACAGATCTGTGACTCAGATCTGTTTTTCATAACAGTGTGTTGTTCCGTTTTGATTTGGATCTGAGCAGTTAATCAGAGTTGATCACTAAAGGTCCTTGCACACTGAGTCAGAAATGTTTGTGTTTTTTTGTTGTTGTTTTTTTCGTATTCGTCATCCTTTCCTATCAAAATGCAGTGTGTAAACGTGATTGACACAACGTGAGGTCATATTCATTTTTTAACGTGCAAAGACCTTAAGGCTTGCGGTGTGAACAGATTGAGCCGCTCGCGCTGGAGTCCTGTTCTCCTGAACTTTCTTGCCAACAGTTTTGCAGTAATTAACCTAATTCAGCTGAGCTGCTAAACGTCTCTCAGGTCAATATCACAACTAGACACTGATGAATCTGGTGCGAGAGCGAGCGGAGCACTGAAGTAGAAGTGCCTCTAATGAGCTGCGGCAGGACGATTGTTTGACCCGTGTGAAACGCTCTTAAATATGAAACTCATATCTGCTATTGTCTTTCACTGCCTGACGTTTCGTCTTCTCTCGCTTGCTGGCTTTGAGCGGGTCAGTTCTCCAGTGGAAGATTGGTGTGTGATTGTCAGATGTGTGACTGTGAAGCATGGCACTAACACTGTCTTTCTCTCTCTTTCTCTCCTCGGTGTGGTCCGGGAACAGAAGAGTACGCTGTGGAAGGTAAGCGGCTGATTAATAACGGTTAAAGATGCTGTGTGATGGTGAGGATTGGTGTCGGCGGCAGCCAGGCCGCTCTCAGATTGGACTGCGGTTTTGGCGACTTCTTGGGGCTTTGATTTGCTGCGGAGCGAGATTTACTCTTCCTCCTTTGTTTCTTTTCTTCTTATGAGTTGGTTTGATTTTTACTTTTCGATCAGTCGAAATGGAGCAGATGCAGTGGAATGGCTCGCCGCTGTCAGTGTGGTTGTTTTATGGTCGTGTAGATCAGTTCTCACGTGATTCTCTGAGGTCAAAGGTTAAACCCTCCTGACGATGTCACTCTGACAGATACGACGCGAGACCAAACACCGCTCGCGTCCGTCGAGGGCTAGATGTATTTACCCATAATTCCCCCGCAGGCTGGATTTGTCTGCGTAATTGATGGCGCTGTGTTTGGTGTTTGGGGATAAGGCGCAGGTATCTGGATGTTTTCCCGCTATCAGGACACTGCTGATGGATTACCCCTCTCTACCCAGCATGCCTCGGGAGGCACGTCGCTATGGCAACAGAGCAGATGTGTGTGTGCGTGAGCTGATGATGGCAGAACGCTCTTCATTGGCAGCATCCTCATGGATGTTATCCAGACGGTGTTTTCAGGTTGATTTGCACAAATCTGATAATAGTGAAAGCTGGTAATTTGCATTAACATCTGAGCAGCAAGAGCTTCAGCACCATTCGAAAATCATTTTCAGGCATATCAAATTTCACGTCACAATAATTGAAGCTTTTATTAGGGTATTGAATTATGTTACAAAAACATTAAGCCTTTTCCTCTAATAACAATTTTAGCAGCAAAAAGAACAGTTAAATACAATAAAACAATAGACAATACAATTGTATGACGTAAATAAATGTTTCAAACAGATTAAAGTAGAAAAGAACACAACTATAGAGAACAATAATCAGTTTCAGCCAATATATACCTTTTCTGGGCTGGCCTGGTTGAGTTCAGATTAAAGTGTAAACATGTATACGTGTAAACAAATGTTAGCAAATACATATATTAAGTCTTCAAGTGTTTGATGAACACTATAGAGAAGACAAGCAGCTGTAAATACTGACTGGCTCCTTGAGAAAGTGCAGTGCTGCTGTGTTTGGAACGGCTTTGGAAAAACACGGCTGAGAGTAAATGCTGGCAGAAGTTCTGTTTCTTTAAAGCTGTACGTAACTCAGTTTTTATGTGACGCACATCATGAGTCTGAACTCTGACATCTCAGACTTTCTCATTCTCTGAGAGGGACACAGTGGATTGTTTCAGAACCTTGTGGACAGAAACGGTTTTGTTCAGGTCTGAAACGGGTTTTGTGGCTGATTGAAGCGGGTGACGTCTGCTGGCGTTGTGCGGGTCGAGCAGTAAACTAGAGAGGCTCTAGAGATCTCAGCGCTGACCTGGACACGCTGGACTCTGATCCACAGAAGCGGTCAGACAGGGCTGTGGATTAAAACATCTGCTGCTTGTATATGAGCATCTGTAAGATACAGACAGAGAGCGAGACAAGCAGCACTGGAGCTCACATGAACACTAAAAACACTGATTAGATCATTCCTGCAAACTACAGAAGACTAGTACAGACCGTTAATGTGGTAATAAGTATGCAAACCTCTGATATTTGAAGAGTCAGCTCATTTTTGCCCGTTGTATGACTGATTATCTGTGATTTAACTAAACCTGCAAGACTTCATTAGATTCTTACCTGGATTGCAAAAAGGCCATTTTATTAATCAGCTTCGGGTCTTGAAACAGTTTGATCATCTTCAAAAAGAGTTTCATAACATTTACATTCATGCATTTGGCAGATGATTTTATTCAAAGGGACTTTTGAGAAATGTCTCCACGTGTGGTTTTCTCGCCCATGTAATGAAAGTCAATGGGGTTCCATGTTGTTTGGTTCTGAACGTTCTTCAAAATATCCTCTTTTATGAAAGTCTGTTATGATGGCGAGTTACTGATGTAAAAAAGATAATTTGTGGATGATATTTATGCAAACCTTTTTTATGCTTCTAATCGGTTCCAATTGTTATGCTTCTAATTCTAATCAGTTCCAAATCACAGGTTTCAGTTTTATTTTCAGTTAGCAAAACCAGTTTTCAGGTACAATGTCTCTTTCAGATTGTTGTCAGGCAATCTTTTGTCCTGATCTTGTGGTAGGGATGTTAATGTGGAAATTGGCTGTGACAAATGTGAATAGCAAATAGTCCGATAGCCCGCCGGTTATTATGAGTGAGTTAATGAATGCGCGGTTGAGGAGCCGCCGGTCGTTCCTCCACAGACAGCCGTGCTTGAGCCGGATGGCTAATTATTGACCAACCTAGATTTCGGCTCGGTCTTGGATGCCCTATATTAGCGGCTCTGACCAGGTGCTCAGAAGGTGTGGTTAGATTGATGAGATCGAGCGTCTCTCAGGTGCCTGTGGGGAAGGAGGCTCTCGGCTGACAGAGAAAAGCCCCGCAAATGGATGAGCTGGGAACGCCGTGACCCCGTTCTGCTCCGAAACCTGTCAGCTGTGTTTCCTAACCGCATACGAGCGCAGAACGCCGGCGTACGGGAACACGGAGTCGCCTGGAATGAGTTTGTAAGTATTTTAGCCGTTTATTCGGCAGTAGTTCAGAGGTTCTGGGAGCTCAGAAGAGCGGTTTCTTCTGGTCACGGCCGATTGGTTTGTTTTTCTGATCGGGCTGCTGTCCTTATCTGGCCGATCCCAGCTAATGATCGTTCCCTCTGGAGCATTCGGGATTTAACCTCATGACGGTTGGAGGATCTTGGATATTTCCTCCTCTCTTGGCCGTAAACTGGAAGGCTGATGTCCTCTGTAGATATGAGATTAAAGTTTGCCGTTATCACAGATTAGAGTGGATCAACTAAACCAGATTATGGATTAGTTCAGAACATTCTCCAGAGCAGACCAGAGTGAATTTTTGTCTTTCTGTATGTTACGGGTTTGTGCGATTTTACAGATGAGACTGTTTGTTGTGGTTCTTTGTAGAAATGAGAAGATATCTGTCTTGTATAAGTCCAGCTTTGGTTTGATCTAACACTGCTCATAGATCTAAATGCATTAATATTGATGTTTTATTCATCTAGTCGTGTGTTTGTCATTATAAACCAGCAAATATAAACGTGATGACATGTCTCTGAGTGGCTCTTCAAATACTGACCCGTAGAAATAATAATTGACCGCTTGAAGTAGTTGTCCATTCGTTACTTGTTTTACTCGTATTTACGTGTTTTATCTTTCCATAATGCATTGCTGCTCCATTCTGTAGCTCGGTCCTGATGTAGTTGTTCAGTCTCAGTTTAATGTCCGTATTCTTCATGTCCGTGTCTTCATTGATTTTCACCTGTTGTCTTTGTCTTGATGCTGTTGTCTCATCCATACACACCTTTAACCCTCGACGTCAGCGTGACCAGAGACAGAATGAAGCTTCAGAAACACATGAGTACCATGAAGAAGTGCAGAGAGACCATGTGACTACAGCAAACCTGAGGCGTCCAATCAGCAGGCAGCGTTTCAACCCACATTCATTCACCTGAAACGACTCATCTGCAGTCACACTGCAGGTTGAACATTTGATTGTTTTGATTGGGGTGTGTGTGAGTGTGAGTGTGAGAGTGTGAGAGTGTGAGTGTGAGTGTGAGACTGTGAGAGTGTGTGAGTGTGAGAGTGTGTGTGTGAGTGAGTGTGAGTGTGAGTGTGAGTGTGAGAGTGTGTGAGTGTGAGTGTGAGTGTGAGAGTGTGTGAGTGTGAGTGTGAGTGTGAGAGTGTGTGAGTGTGAGTGTGAGTGTGAGAGTGTGTGAGTGTGATGTGTGTGTGTGTGTGTGTGCGATTGTGAGTGAGTGTTTGTGGACTTGTTTTGAGTATACATGTTCTGGACCAAATATCCTCACTTGTATTGTGAAATACTTTGTCAACCCTCTAGTGAGACATTTGACTGCTCCTCTAGTTAAAAGGCTTATAAATTCAATTCAAGTTTATTTGTATAGTGCTTTTCACGATACAAATCATTGCAAAGCAACTTTACAGCAAACTAGGTTTCTACAATATTTATTAGTAGCTTATCAGTGGTGACTGTCAGTTAATGTACATATGGCAGAAATGTACGGACAAATCAATTAAAGACGTAATCAAACAGACGATGAACACTATTAACAGCAATTATTATATGATGCAATGAAACTTATAGCAAAATGTGGTAGTTCTGTTGTTTCAGGGTTGGCATCATCTGAGGTCTTCTGAGGGGTTGGCATCATCTCTTCTCAGGTGTTCTGGATCCAGACTGAATCTTGTGTAAATCCTAGTTACCACGGGATGTCAATAGCTAAACAAATAGAGACATAATTAGCGTAGTTGCTGTTCCAACCAAGCAAAATTGATTTGTTTAACCCAAACTAAAGAATAATAAAGTGCATTTGATCAGATATAACTGCAGTACAAGATTATGATATGCATTATTTGAATGCTTGGCCAAAGAGATGTGTCTTTAATCTAGATTTAAACAGAGAGAGTGTGTCTGAACCCCGAACGTTATCAGGAAGGCTATTCCAGATTTGAACCGATGGAACTCTAGATCCCTCTGCTGAAAACTCACCAAACCTTACTTATAGCTGTTTCTAATAGCTTTTGTGTAATTATGGGATGGATGTGGCGCATGGTTGATATTAATCAGAAAGTGAATCAGAAGATCCAATCAACACAGATTTAATCATTGTGTGAAAAGTGACGACAGGTCTGTCAAATTTATGTAAAAAATGATGATTAAAATGATGCCTTGGGAATTAGCTGAAATAAGTTTGTTTTATGTTTAATTTTATTAAAGTTTATTTTATTTTAAGTAATGAAAAAATTGTTTTTTTATGTTTTCAGTTTAACTTTAATAACCCTGTTCACAGCACATCGATTCAAAGCAGCTTCACAGAAAGTAAGCTTCACTGTAATGTCTGTGATGCTTTAGTGCTTTAATAAAGCAGGTTCTACAGTCAAGCAGCCGG